ACTCATTTGTGGATGGGTTGGCCAAGCAAGGAGTGAATAGGGAAGCTGTTTTTTGGGCCAGTTTTTAATATTTTTCTTTGCATTCCCTGTGTTTTCTGTTTTTGGGGAGCTAAGTTATTTTATCTCCCCCTTTGTATACTTATTCCCTCTCTTCTCTTAATTTAATGAAGATGATGTTATTGATCAAAAAAAATAATAATTTGGCAATGTATGTGCACAATACAAAAAGTCCATTCCCAACCCAGATTTAGCAAGGCAATCAGCCACTTAATTTAACTCTATAGGAATCCATCTAAAAGTGCACTGCAAGCAAGAGACGAGCTCCCTGATTTCTAACAGGTGGGGGAGCTTCCACAGATCAAGTGTCTGTCCAGAAGCCCAGTTTATGACATTCCTTGAGTCCCCTTCCACTGCAATGAAACTAAGCTGCTGCAAGTCTGCGACTTGGCAATTCTAAGGCCTTCAAAGAGAACCCTAGTCTCTGCTTCCGTTACATCAGCAGCCTTGGAAGGATCATACTTTTTTTATATAGTTATTTCTCCAAGGGCTACACAACGGAGGGTAGCCCATCCCCCAAACCCATAGACCCCCCGAACCCAGGTGCAGGCAGGATTCAATCCCAAGTTGCCGCTACAACCAACAGGTGACCTTACCAACCAGCCGGCTGGTACCTTGCCTTGGAAGGACCAAACTTGCCGAAAAGTTGTAATTTGATACTTAATCTAGACCCTCTAAGAGCAGCATTAGCTTTCCTTTTTAGTAGCAATATTAGTATTTTTTTATTTTGTAATGAGTTCTGGTGCAGTCAGAACATGAAGTTCTGATCAATGTATTTTTTGGAACTGTTTTGTTTCTAGGGTGGACATGTTTTGGTTTGGGTGGCTGTTTTGAGTTGTTTCTTTTTGTATGTGGTTGGGTGCACTTTTTTTTATCTTTCTCCTTTCCAAGGAGATATCAACTGTTCAGCTGTTCCCACAATCTTTTTTGTTTTAATAATCTTATCTGTATAATCAAACATATATATGGGGTTACTCCTCTCTACTCTTAGGGCAAGAGAGAAATTTTATGGAAGATAGCATGGATTGCAATCTGTTGATCTATTTGCAGAGGGTAAAAATAGAAGAAAATTTGTTTGAGGCATTAATCCTGTACTTTGCCATTTATAATTTTGTATTCCAGGAGTAGCTTATCCTATTTATATTGCCACATATACATTACTAAACTCTCTTGTTATCTATCAAAGAGAAGTATTAAATGTTTCTTTCATTCATTTTTTCCATTTGGTTCTCTTTCCTATCAGTCCTAGTTTTTAACAAGTATTTTAACAAGATTAATGCATATTACGAGTCCTGCTTGAATGGGAATATCGACTGGGAATGATTTGTCTACATAGGTATCAAGAAACCAAAAGAGGTAAAACATCTTTCACAAGATCAACAGATGTTATGAAGTTTCATTTGCAATCAGTACATAGGAGACAAATAAATAAATAACACAACAACAAAGACATGTTCAGACCTCATGATCAATTGAGCCTTGTTTTGGTCAAAGCATGAGGACAGTCTTGTCAGACGCATATCAACCAGATAGACAGACTGTAACCTAGTTGGGAAACAGTTACTGAAAGGGCTAATTTCCCTTTACAGTTTCTTCACTGAGTTAGGGAGTCAGTTCTAACAGTTTGACCATTCAACTTGAGACCCATCAGCTTCAGTGAGTCAACGTCCAGTTGTTATGAAACATGATTTAGACCAATCATCTCCTAAGGAGATATACTTGTGCAACTATGTAAACTGTGGCAATCTGTAGAAAATTTATTCAATTCAATATATCTGATATAATTATCACAACAACCCACTTACAGGCCCACCTTTACTTCCTCTATAGCAATTGTGCTCGGAACACGGCGGTGATCCTTTCGACGTGGTGACTCTTGTTCCTCTATGTCTTCCATGCTTACCCCAGGATCTACTGTCAAAACAACTTTTACCCATTGTAAATTGTTATTATGCCGTGCTTCTAATTCTTGAGAAGAATATTTTGCACATTCACTATTATTTGTTGCCATTACTACTGAAGTAGGGTTTGAACTTCTGATGCCAGATCCTGAATCAGACAATTGCTTCTCTACAGAAAGGGTCACATTAACAAATTTAATCTTGGCTTCCCATAATTGTGCCATTGCCTGGTCAATAGCTTGAGAAGTTGATCTTGACATCCTGTCAGCACCACTAGGATACACATCTGGTGCAGTCCACAAAGGATATGCCCATGGAGGAGGCTTTGGCAATTGTGCATCTCCATTCGCTAATGGAATCCCTCCTCTAGAAAGCTTTTGAGCACTGGATGTTTCCTTTCTACGGCTGGAAAAGGGAAAATTTTGTGTAAGACAACATATGACAAATAAGACCTTTTCTTCCTATGGATAACAATAGATTCTATTGATTAATGAACTCATGGTTAATTAGAGTATATGGCAGAATAAGCATGATAAGCAGTCAACTCAAATCATGCTGATGCATAATTACCTTGGTGTTTCACCTTTCAAAACCTCAACACATATCAAGTAAGGTGCCTTTTCTCTAGAATTCAAGAGAACAGCTTCATCTTCAGGTATATGGACCACACGATACATCCCTTTCCCCATTGGAAAGCAGACTCCTATGATAATAATGGAAAAGGCAGCCAAAATTTTATCAAGGTCTGTAAGAATTTTTTTTTTTTTTTTTTGGTCAATTGGCAACAGTAAACAATAATTTAATTGAAAATAATTGAAGACAAAATCCCTGCACAAAAGAATAGAAAGCAAGAAACCAGATAACAGAAAAGACCTCAACCCAAGTCCAACATAAGGCCAGATCAGGCTTAAGCCCAAGCCCAATCCTAGGCCATAGGAAACAAACCCAGTCTAAGATTAAACCAGGCAATGCCAGGTTCAGCAAGGCCCAACCCAAGTTGCAGGAACTACTTTAGTCCCATGAACCTAGCTACAGACTTTCCATTGTTGCACTCAAATATGTGCATACTAACTGCTAATGACATCCGAAAAGCAAAATTTTCAGAGATACACCACAAGCCTTTAAATTATTGGTAAACATAATACAGTTTAAGGGGTCATTTGATAACAGCTAAAATGATTGAACTAATGACTTATTGCTCTATCTGATAGTGAACTAGTCACTATGTAGGTTGTGAGCTCCTTAGTTGCTGAATGGCATGCTGAGTTGAGTATCATATCCTCGAGTATTAAATTATATAGATATTTCATAACTAGAAAATAAAGAAATAAGTTATTCTTTTCAGCCACTTCAGCCATCAAATGACCCCTACATACAAATACACTGCATACAACAAATAGCCTTCCTTTGAAATGAAATCACCATTTACAAAAAAAAAAAAAAAAGCACTACAAAAACAGAAGAGTTTTCAATCATATATTTTTTCAAGAACCAACTCATTATCAATATCTAATAAATAATACCATAGACTTCCTTTCACATAATTTTTTATTTCACACCATATTTTATGTCTAAATTCTTGAATATTACTACAGATTTCAAAAACCTATCTACTGATATAGGATATAAATACTTGAAAAGAAAATTATAGATAAACTTTACCAATCAAAACAAAATTATAAATAAACTATACAAAAAAAAAATCAGATGCAGAGCGAATGCCTACAGATAAATACCAATCTTTGCTAACTCAACCAAGATCAAAGGAAAGTACCTCCACTACTTTGAGCAGCCTCTATAAGTGAATTGATCTCTGCAAGTGACTAGCATCACAAGAACCATAACATCAGTACCATAAGATGTTAATGCAACACAGGGAAATTTAACCATTTAGTAAGCCAGATAAGACAACAAAAAATCATATATAACCTCAAGAAGAGCTTTTTTGCGATCTTCAATTGGAAATACATCCACCAGTGCATATGAAGTCTCACACAGTGATTGGACAATGTCCAACGAAACATGATAGGTCCCTTTGCGAATCTGAGATGCCAAAGGTGATGGAGGTTTCGCATGTGATTTTTCATTTCTTTGCCTTGGTGAACCTGGACGCTTCTGTCAAATTAAAAGCACAAAAAATAATAGAACAGGAATGTTATACATTAGCCTCAAATAGTTGAGGCACATGGTTATGCAAATGGTGAAAAGGAGAGCCACATGTACAAAGGCCAAAACTTACAATGCCATCATCAATTAACATTAGCCCATGAAATGGAGTTAATTACAAAAGATGCTATCAGAATAAGGCTTGATACACACTACATAAGAAAAGACCAATAAAATAGGGCATTTAAAATTTTGGATATCACATGTTACATAAAGAGTAATGAATTTTATAAAGGAAAGACAAGTCATTTATTGGAAAAAGGAAAAAAAAAAAGAAATAAACAGGTCATGATGAGAGCTTTGAAAGCAAACTGCAAATAACAAGAATATGAAATGGTAAAAACAAGTACATGCAATAAGAAGGAAGCTATGATGCAAAAAATTCCCATACTATCTCTGATACAGCGCTGAGTCCAATTCCCATTACTACAACTTATAAGAGGATTCTTTATTTTATTAATAGTAAAGCAAAAGAAATTTTATTATAAAAAAGAGAAAAACCACATCAAACCTCAAACGGGGAGGGTAATAAGATGTCATCAAAACACCAGATAATGGAATGACATCAATGTGAAGAAAAAAAAAAAAAACAGAATACATAATTCTTCATACCCAGAAGAAGGTAATAGAACCAAAACATTATAACCAGAAAAAAAGATGCTGACTAACAGTTTTTCACACTAAACAGTAAATAGTTTCATAAGGAGAAGAAGAAAAATCTATAAGAAAGAGTACAAGATATTTAGAAAAGACCACTTATATCTACAGAAGACTTTGTGCACTTCAGACAGGTTGTTTACAGTTGAGGATAGTTCCCAATTCCCAATCATGACCTGATTGAATTAATATAAATAACTCCCTTGCTATCTCCATGCAGGGCTCAGTTTAGTTTCCATGGTTATGACCCATAAGAGGATACTAAACAATAAATATTTTCACTAAAGTAAACGGAGAAGAAAAAACCTACAATATTAGCAGGCGTGATTACCAATATTGCATCTGTCAAAGTTTAGATTTAGTCTACTGATCAAAAAAAAAGTTTAGATTTAGTCTACATGACATCTTGTCCCTTATTGTTTAATATCCTCTCATCCATTTCATTCCAGATACTCCACATTGTTGTTTTCCTGTAGGCTTGTACAATGCCATAACCTTTCCCCTCTTTGTAGATAAGAGAGTCAACTGAGAGGAAAATAGATAAATTAATTCAATGGTAGGCTCATGCAACATCAAAAATAAAGAAAAACAAGCAAATTGTGTATACATTTCTCCATCAATTTCCTCATCTCCCTACTTACTAAAGCCTTGAACATCAATTTCTCATTCCTTCTCAAAACCTGAAAACTAAGAAAGCTCTCTACCACTCTCCACATGATAAACCAATGTGAGTTGTCTAGTATCCTGGAAATCCTAAATTATTTTGATGGAACTTTTCTTGATACCACCTCAACTGACAGAAGATTTTTTTCTATGACCAATAACAGAATTAAGTTCATTAATTAAGAAAGGGAAGAATGGTTACAAGAACAACAAGGGGAGAGATAAACTCTCTTAGCCCTCCCCAAAAAAACTATTACAAAACAGCCCAAAAAAAAACTATCCTTCCCACCCCTTGTTTAGCAAGAGTGTCAACAAGAACATTGGCATCCCTTCTCACCCATTTAAAGTTCACCTCCATCCCCTGAAGAAGTTTCAATAATTTCCTTTTTTTCAAAGATATAGGACCACCATCAATGATAAGCTTCCTAACATTCAGCTCTCTAGCCCTTTGGACACCTTCCACCACAGCCATAATCTCTGCTCTCAAAGAATCGCCAATTCCATCCGGTCCAGAACAAATTGCAATAAACTGTCCTTCCTCATCTATGAAGGTTCCTCCAATTCCAAATGGACCCGAGTTACCTACACTGCTACAATCGAAGTTAAGCTTGACAAAACCTCGAGATGAGGGAGACCAAATAGACCAAGTAACCTCCCTAAGAGGAAAAGAACCAGCCACCTCCCTCCATTTTCTCAATAATTCATCAGCAGCAATATTCTTGAAGAGATCCAATGTCTTCACCCAATGGACAACTCTGATAACAAATTGACAATGGCTTCAACAATAACGTCTTTACTTCTCTCCTTGTCAAGAAAGATTTTGTGATTCCTTTCTTCCCAAATTGTCCAACAAACTACTGCTCTCATGCATTTCCATAATATTCTGCCCCTCTTCTTTGGCCAACTGAAGAAAGTAGAGGCGAACAGACTTTGTATGTTTGACGGAGGGCTCCACCTGCACCCAAACAAAGAAAAAAACCATTCCCAAATTGAAGAAGAAAGAGGGCAAGAGATTAGTAAGTGAAAGCAATTCTCACCATTAACCTTACAAAAAGAACACCAATGAGGGGAAAGACACCAATTAGGTATTTTCCTTTGCATTAATTCACAAGTATTAATTCTCTCTAAATAAACTTCCCAGCAAAAACCACCCACCCTAAGCAGAATAGGTCTGCTCCAAACCTCCTTCACTGGAAAAGACAACCCTTGACTATCTCTTGGTTGAATAAGGGAAGAGAAAAAAGAGGCAGAAGATACCCCTATCCCTTCTTGAATCATCCAAACATACCCCTTCGAGGTTTTACCCTTGTACTCTTGCTCTTCCTTTCTCCATTTGTTGCCCTAATCTCCACATTCCACTTTGGTGTTTTCAATGAAAACAATATGGTGGCATCAAACTCCACCCAAAGATGGGGCTTTTTGTTGGGAGATTTTTTTATTTGAAAATTAATACTTGTGAAGCTCTTCAAAAAAAAGGCTCAATTGGTGTATCTCATGTCTCGCCTGAAATTTATTTCTTATAAAATACAAATAGTGAGACTAAGGATCAAAGTATCGATATTGGGTACTGTATCGAAGAATTCGAATACGGATATGCTTTGGAAACGCATGGATATGGACGAAAAATATGAAAACAAATGGATATGTTAGGGAAATACATACAAATTCCACGAATACATTAATAACACTAAACTTAAGACCAAAATAGTCACAAATAGTATATAAATACATAAAAATGTATATTTTAATGGTGTATATGAAAAAATATATTACAATTAATATATCAGGATACTTATATATCATATAATTTTATTTATAATGCACTAAACACATGTCCATATTATACTTTAATTATTATATTAGTTTTTTTATTTTACTATTTTAATTTTTAACATTAACAAAAAATCAACTAAATATTAAATTCTCAAATGCAAATTAAAATACCAATTAAAAATTCACAAAAATATAATATTAAATTAAAGTATATCAAATTTGTTAAAATTTCTAAGATGCGTATCCTATACAAATTCATAATTTTTAATTACTAAAATAATTATTACATTGTTAATATTTTTACTTCTATAAATAATTAATAAAAAATCATTTATTGAAATAAATATAGATTAGTGGATTTGATAGATTAAATTTAATATTATATTCTTTAATATTTTGTAAACAATATTTTTATTTTTATAAATAATAAATATGTTGTTATTACTTATTAATATAAATTAAAATATTAATTAATTATTTGTAAAAATATATAAAAATTTAAGATGCATATCATGTGCAATTTAAATATTAAAATGGTTATTTTATTATTAATATTTTATTGTATAGTTTTATTGATATTAAAAATCATCTTTTTATATAAATATGGACTTGATAGATTATTTGTTCTATTAATTTATAAAATACTATTTTTGAATATTATTGTTTGGAATAGTTAGAATTGTTAAATATAAGCACATGTTTTTTGTTTAAATTGTATGTCAACACAAAACAATTAATAAAATTATTTTATTCTATTTAATATCACAAGATGAAGCCTAGCTTGATGGTTCAAAGTGTGGCAAAAGATAGGCGCATCCTAATGACCTGGGTTCGAATCATCACAATTGCATTTTTTATAAAGTATAGAGAGACGCGGTGTTTCGCGTGTATCACCCCATACCGATACGTATTGGCCAATACATACAATACAAGCTGATACGCATCCGTATTGGTGCGGTATGAGCAACTTACGAGATACGTTTCTATTTGTAGCGCATCTTGTACCACTGTCAACCGATACCAATATGATACACCCCGTATCGGGAGTATCATGTTGATATTTAAATCCTTGAGTGAGACTACTTTACATTTACTAGCCTCCTATTAGCTCTTTTGTATTTGGGGGGTTTTCTTCTTTCTATTTGGATGCAGGTTAGCTTCTCCAAACAAATTACAGACTCTTTTTTGGTGACAAATTAACATTTTTTTGAGACAAATTTCCTTCCTGTATATGAATCAAAGCACTTGCATCCCTTTTATGTGGTTGAACAACCCCCCAAATCGCCCTTGGATCCAACTTAGTTCTTTTTGGATCCTTAACATTAATGAAACAAACACAACCAAAGACTTTTGGTGGTAAATAGAATAGAGGATTATTAGGACAAAGACCAGAGAAAGGAGTCTTCGTCCTAAGTATCCTAGATGGCATCCTATTTATCAATTATGATGCAATAAGCACTGCATGAGACCAATACGTCTTGGGAACCATGTGCTGGAATCAAGGATCAAAGATTCATCACATATCGGCTTGTATTAGCCAATACGTATCATATCGGAGCCTTCTCGATATGTCCCTATAGGGGGTATTTTGGCCTTTCGGGTCGGTGAGTGGATCAAGGGGTAGACCGGCCTTAAATCGGCCCCTCTGAACCAATTCCGAAAAAATAAAAAGATAAAAAATAACATAAAAAACAGTACTGATACAAGCCGATACGCCCTACCGACGTATCACCCTGCATCGATATTTTGAACCTTGGCTAGAACAATAAAGCACAAGCTGTCTCCATAAGATGGCTATTTTTCCTCTCAGCAACCCCATTTTGTTGTGGGGTATAACTACAAATGAGGATTGATGA